TTCCTCCCTATTTTCTGCCGGTTTTCTAGCCTCGTTTGCTACCATTTTTCCACAATTTTTCATCCAGGAAATCACATATTTCTCACCCCCAACATGCTTTGATACCATTTGTTGTTAAAATCCAAGAAAAATCTTATTTCCCAAGCTCGAAAATTAGCCAAACGAACACCACAAGAAGGCTTGACCCAAAAACTTCCAAGTCTTCTACACTCCAGTTTCCACAAGTTTTACACCCACAAAGGATGACGATGGTTATTGATTTGCAAGCCTTCACCTTTCCCTTGAATCGGCTACCTCACGTTTTTTCTCCTTTGTGCAAAATCAACTCACACAAGAAAATGGCTGGGAATGACACGTATATAATTGCATTCAATTATGTCACAATGTGGGCCAAAGTCACTCTCTTCTTCAATGGGCCAATACTCCAAAGGCTAAATGTGTTACCAGGTAACCATATATCACAACTAAATCCAACTCAAATTTAGGCCATCCAAAAGTATATTAATTGATTTCGATTCCAGCCGTCCCTTTGGTGTCAATAAAACATTCGACATCATTTTATCGTCATCGTCCAAATTTATTGGATATCAAAACCCAACACACTGTCATTAGACTTCTAATTGAAAATTATTCTTCNTGCAGCAGCGACCAGCATTGTCACAAATTTTTTTATTTGTGATCGAAATATAATTTGTGATCAATTAATTTGAAAAACTCCACACTTGATAAGTTGCAGTGATTGTAATTTACATTCCATGTAAATTTACATTAAAATCATGTTACAACAAAGTACGTGATTTCTTTGAAATTATAATTTATTCTGTGTTATTGCTGTAATTTTTTTAATCAGTTAGCATCATCTAAATTAACTTCACTAACACCTACATGGAAAAAGGAAAATGAAGACAAAATTGTTGATGTTACTGTCCATTGCCTGTTGTACGTGTTTGTCAGAAGAGTAATGCTACATGTACATAAGCATCTACATAAGGGTTCACATAATTACATGTGTCATATGATCCAACTTTTAATTCAAATTTCACACTTACACTTCAACAACTGGATGATTGACACATCACCATTATGTGCACCATTATGTGCATCGTTATGTACCTCTAACATTATTCATATTGACACCATATTTTAATTGCATGAAAACTTAATAACATTTAATCATTATTACATTTATATTTTCGACTTTTTTTCATTACGTTCATATATTCATTTTTTCATTAATAAGTACCTTATGACAATTTTCGTACAAAAAATTCATTAAGAGCGATAAAAAGAGCTATTTGTCCCTTGAATTTTTAAATAGTGTAAAAAGTAACAAATACAAAATATTTATCCTTCAATGCACACCAACAAAATCTTTGGAGGTGAGCAAGATATGCTAATTAGGTTATGAATTAAAAAGTAACAAGAAAAAAAAAGGTTACGAACATAAATTTAACAATAGATAAATATTAAAAAAAAAATATTTTCAACTACACATTCTCCAATAAATAAATATTAAAAAATTACAATTAAGATGTGCACGCGGATTAAATTCTAAATTTAGCCCGTGTTTGAGCCCATTTTATCAAAAACTCTTTTTCAGCTACACATTTTCCAATAAAATAATCTTCAATTTTTTTTTCTAATCATGCATTCTAAAATAAATATTATTCCAAAATATATTTTTTCCCCTACAACAACAGCTATGAGCATATCCAAGAAACTCTTAAACATGAGATATTCTATATTTTAAAGAGTCAATATTTAAAATTATGTTCCAAAAGACTCTTTAAATTAATATTTTAATTTAGAGAGTGTGTTTGACTCTACAAATTTAGAAAGTCAAACTCACTCTCTATAATTAAATGCATTCAAAGAGTTTCGATTTTCAATGTAGGAAAACAATAAAATAATCTAAAGAAAAGCTAATTAAAATAAAAGATAAAGAAAAGCACTTGTTAAATATAAAGAGCTTGTTGAAGTACTTCAAAATTTTAACTCTCTAAATTTTTAAATACTCTCCAAATGATACAATGTGCTCTTTAAAACTAGAGCCCCTTTGAAATGCTCTTAGGCTTATTAAAGTCTTCATCAACAAGGCAATTGACTTCCAATTTCCAAATTTGCCTGTTTGAGCTTGATTGTATAATGTATTTTAGAACAATAAATGCAGTTAAAATTTGAAAAAGTTTTTAAATTGCGCGTAATATTATTTTATTGAAAAATACCTGATTGGAAAGTGTAAGGAGTAAACAAGGTTTAACCTCTGTTTGAGCCACATTAAAATTTTCATTCTTATTTTTCTACTCATTTTCAACTACACATTTTTCAATAAAATAATATTTTTCATCGCATCAATAACTTTTCTTTATTTTTCAACAACGCATTCTTTATCAATCTACTATTCCAAAATATATTCTTTGAAAATAACGTGGCTCAGACACATCCTTAGGGATGACAATTCGAACTGTGAAAATCGAAAACTGTGGTTAACCGAATCGAATGAAGCGAAAAAAATCGAACCGCTGGTACAATGTGGTGATTATGGTTTTGATTTTAATGACCCGATTCGTGGTGGGACGAGTATGATATTTAACAACGGTGTCCCGCCCCGAACCGATTACCCGCTAACAAAATAAATTCAATTGGACAATTTTAGTTTTTTTTTTTTTTGGACAAACCCAATTAAAAAATTGAGCCCATTTGTTAGAGTCATCTACTACTGTTGGAAAGCATTCTCGCATGGCTGATTTTGATACATTTGTTAGTCATTCTTTGCCGTTGATCATGTAAAAACAGAGTTTGATATTTTTCTAGACGAGTCGTATTGCCAAGGTGGATGGTTTTGATTATTTGACATGGTGGAAAGCAAGTTCAATAAAATATCCGACTTTACAGAAGGTTGCTAGTGATTTATTAGTCATTCCAGTATCTACTGTGGCATTCGAGTTAGCGTTTAGTACAAGTGGTAGATTTGTGAGTCCACGTAGAAATATGCTTTATCCGAAGACTTTAGAAGCTTTAATGTGTGCTCGAGATTGGCTTTGTACTGATATTCATAGTATAATTTATTGTTTTATATTTGTTATTTATGCACTTTCTTTTATTACTAATTTTTTCTCTATTGTGTGTAGAAAATTCTGCTCCTTCATCATACTCCGGGGTTTGTGCAATGTTTAGTGAGGAGGATATTGACGAAGATGTATATTTTTTTGTTTAAATCTTCGGTTAAAACCATTCTTGATTAGGTAGTTTAATCGTATTATTACTCTAATTACATTTCTTATTTGCTATATAGGAATCAATTTTTAGTCTTGACTCTTGACCTATGCTAGTAAGAGTTGTGTGGAAGAATGAAGATTGACCTATACTAGTAACAGTCTTCACTTATATTGATAATATTGTTTGTTAAATTTGAATTTTACATTTGGAAGTTAAGATATTGTTTGTATTTTTATTTGGGATATAGTTTGTTAAATTGACTTAGTATTGTATTTTTGTTTTTATTGACTTTTCTTCATAATTTTTTTCTATTTGACGGTTGGAGTTTGAACTTATAAAAAATAATTTATTTTCGTGGTTATTAATCGAACTGAACCAAGATACGAACCAAGCCGAACCGAATCGAACTGATTTACGTGATTATGATGCGATTATGATATGGTTAAAAAGTTGTTGGTTCGGTTATGATTTTGGTCCAACCGACCAGTTGCCATCCCTGCACATCCTTGGCCTTTTCTTCACTTTGTACTTTGTACCCAATCCCTTCGCAAAATTAAGAACTCAATTTTNTTTGATTTATTGACATGGTGGAAAGCAAGTTCAATAAAATATCCGACTTTACAGAAGGTTGCTAGAGATTTATTAGTCATTCCAGTATCTACTGTGGCATTCGAGTTAGCGTTTAGTACAAGTGGTAGATTTGTGAGTCCACGTAGAAATATGCTTTATCCGAAGACTTTAGAAGCTTTAATGTGTGCTCGAGATTGGCTTTGTACTGATATTCATAGTATAATTTATTGTTTTATATTTGTTATTTATGCACTTTCTTTTATTACTAATTTTTTCTCTATTGTGTGTAGAAAATTCTGCTCCTTCATCATACTCCGGGGTTTGTGCAATGTTTAGTGAGGAGGATATTGACGAAGATGTATATTTTTTTGTTTAAATCTTCGGTTAAAACCATTCTTGATTAGGTAGTTTAATCGTATTATTACTCTAATTACATTTCTTATTTGCTATATAGGAATCAATTTTTAGTCTTGACTCTTGACCTATGCTAGTAAGAGTTGTGTGGAAGAATGAAGATTGACCTATACTAGTAACAGTCTTCACTTATATTGATAATATTGTTTGTTAAATTTGAATTTTACATTTGGAAGTTAAGATATTGTTTGTATTTTTATTTGGGATATAGTTTGTTAAATTGACTTAGTATTGTATTTTTGTTTTTATTGACTTTTCTTCATAATTTTTTTCTATTTGACGGTTGGAGTTTGAACTTATAAAAAATAATTTATTTTCGTGGTTATTAATCGAACTGAACCAAGATACGAACCAAGCCGAACCGAATCGAACTGATTTACGTGATTATGATGCGATTATGATATGGTTAAAAAGTTGTTGGTTCGGTTATGATTTTGGTCCAACCGACCAGTTGCCATCCCTGCACATCCTTGGCCTTTTCTTCACTTTGTACTTTGTACCCAATCCCTTCGCAAAATTAAGAACTCAATTTTTGTGAAATTAGTTTTAAAAAAAATCCCATAAATACATACACGGAATACCATGTTGTAGAAATTTGTTTATGCTTCTGAATTTGAATTTTTTGGTTGATAATTCATATGTTCATATTCATTATATGGTATTAGTGAAAAAGTTGTAAATTTTATGAAAAAAATGATAATCAGGTTGCGGGAAAGAGTTGAATTGTCTCTAATAGCTCGATAATTTCGTGATTAAATCTGAATCTCAGAGATATTTCGGAAATTTTCACTCGCAGAATGCCCCAGGACTCGCCGTCGGAACCCTACCCGGATGATTACGATACGGAGCCCGAATTTATTGAGGTTGATCCATCTGGTCGATACGGTCGGGTCAGTATAATTCTTACGTGTTTCATATTTGATGCAAATTTGTAGTTGTAGAGCTAATGTTTTATTCTATTATCTTTGAACTGGTTTGTAATTTTTTGTTGTGATACATGTTCTATGCAATTTATGTTTGTTGATCAGCAAAAGCTTTTTATGAATCGTTTTGTATAATTATACTTTTTTGACGCAATTTTGCAGTATAAAGAAGTATTGGGCAAGGGAGCTTTCAAAAAAGTGTATCCTCTCTACAATACATTGCACTATATGTTTTCGAATTTTACTTTGTTTTTTATTGAGGAAAATTTTGATTAAATTCAATTTTTTTGTGAATCCTTAATTATAATGCTGGGAAAATAGATATAGAGCGTTTGATGAATGGGAAGGAATAGAGGTGGCATGGAATCAGGTTAAAGTTGCAGATCTCTTGAGAAATTCTGAGGACTTGGAACGATTGTATTCCGAAGTTCACTTGCTAAAAACTCTTAAGCACAAGAATATTATCAAATTTTACAACTCGTGGATTGATGCCAAGAATGAGCATATCAATTTCATTACGGAAATTTTCACTTCTGGCACTTTGAGACAGTATGTTCAAATTAATTCTGATTTTTACTGTTAAACTTACCAATCTAGTAAAATGTGATTCGTGATCTGTTTATGCGTGTATGTGCAGGTATCGAAAGAAACATAAATATGTCGATTTGAGAGCTTTGAAAAAATGGTCCAGGCAAATTCTAGAAGGGCTTTCGTATCTTCATAGTCATGACCCCCCAGTTATTCATCGGGACTTGAAGTGTGACAATGTTTTTGTGAACGGGAACCAGGGGGAGGTGAAAATCGGGGATCTTGGACTTGCTGCTATTCTTTGTAAGGCTCATGCAGCTCACAGTGTCATTGGTAAGGTTTGATTTGTTGATTTGGCCATTAGCATTTGGTTATGAAGGCAATGACATAATTGTGGTTTCAATGCTAGGCACGCCTGAGTTCATGGCACCAGAGCTTTACGAGGAGGAATACAATGAGCTTGTAGATATCTATGCCTTTGGTATGTGCTTGCTGGAACTCATGACAGTCGAGTACCCATATGTTGAATGTGCCAATGCTGCTCAGATATATAAAAAAGTGACATCGGTGAGTCATTCTCGACTTTCTAACTGTAATTTTTATCTTTCATCTGACCTGGCCTGGTTCAATGAGTAGTTTTATTATCACAAAAGCGCTCTAATTTTTTGCTCCTATCAATTCACCTACATGCATCGAAGGGTTTATCTTCGTACTTTGCTCATTATCATTCATCAAGAGTGTGATATTTTTAATGGAATTCTGAGAAGAAAGGTTCATATTCTCCTTTTCGTTATTCAGTATGACTAAATGATGGATTGTTTCTTTGGTATTAGACTGGTTTAGAGATATTTTCATGGTAGAAGTAATTTAGACAAATAAAGAACTGTTGTTCTTAAATTGTCTTTTTTTGCTTTCGTCTGCGCCGTTGTAATGAATTTCTCATCATCTTTTACTCTTTCTGAAGGGGATTAAACCTGCATCACTAGGAAAAGTGAAGGATCCTGGAGTCCGAACATTTATCGAAAAATGTATTGCAAAAGTCTCTGAGCGGTTATCGGCCAAAGACCTACTGAATGATCCTTTCCTCCAGTCAGACGAGGATTCTAGAAGTATAGGTCGATCCCTGCATTCTCATCCCCTAAATGCAGGTGCATTTTTCCGACATCCTCAGCTGTGTTATTGCATTTAGTCAACTCTTTCCCAGTTTTTAACACTTGCTATATTCAGATGACAATAGTGATCAGTTTGACTGTGGAAAAACGCCCGAGGGAAGTTTAGACTTCTCGGTATATGGTCAAAGGAAAGACCAGAATACTATATTCTTGAAACTCCGAATAGCAGATTCGTCAGGTTATTTACGTACTTTTTTATTTTTTTAATATAGGCAGTTCTTATTCCCCAAAAAGAAAAATGTCCGCTCACAAGCATGATTATCTTTTTATGTGATTTCTTGATGAGCTCAGGACATATTCGGAATATTCACTTCCCATTTGATATTGAGGTGGATACATCAACTGCTGTAGCTAGTGAAATGGTTGAACAGCTGGATTTGACGGATCGTGATGTCTCAATAATTGCTGAAATGATTGATTCTGAAATTCGATCCCACATTCCAGATTGGGCACCCATAGAAATCTATGGCAATAGTATTTCTGGGGAAGCAATTTCTGCAAGCGGTAGATCTGGAGGTCAGGGTGATGCTTCTCACACGGAAATTGATTCTGCTCATTCTGGTTCTTCCCCCGTGACAAATGATTCTGCTCGTACTGGCCCTCTTGTTTCGGAAAGACTGCCTTCAGGTCGTAGATTTTGGTCCGATTCACCCAAAACTAGTGATGCAACCTCTCCACTGAGGCCAATACCGTCAAGGGCAGATTCAGTTACCTCTGGAGATGGCTGGTCTGAAGAAAATTCGCCATCCTCAATTTTTCATAAAGATGTTAACAGATCCCTTGATGCTTCCCCTCTCAGGCAAGTAGAAAACGAGTCTGATCATGATGTTTGTACAGAAGTGGATGGGCCTCGTGCTTTTGAAGAAAACACAATAATGAGTGAAACTGAATCTAATGACCTCAAAATTATTGTTATAAAACTAGAGCATTTATTGGACAAGCAGCGAAGGGAACTAGATGAACTTAAGCAGAGGCATGAACTGGCTGTCTTGGATCTTTTGAATGAAGTTCCTCCTGAGATGGTTCATAGAGTTCTTAGTATCTGCGACTAGAAGATATCTGAACATAAACTGAATGATGAAACATGCCATTTGAATCATAAGTTTGAGGATCAAGTTTCCCCCTTGTGGATGTAAGTTTTGTTCTCTCAAATTCAAACTCTCTCTCAGATTATAATTTGGATAATTGATGATTACACCAGTTGCACTCATCCTTAAGGTTCCAAGATATTTAAGAACGCTGAGAAGTGGAGACCGAAACAGTAGCTATGGACCTATATTTAGATACAATTACAACATGGTGAGACGGAATATTGAATCTGACTTGGGAGTTGCAGTAATTTTAAGAGATGATGCGGGTAAATGTCGTACTTTTGTTGAACTTTCTACTTTTAAAGCGTGCTCCATGATGGTGTTGATTGATTTTACACATTATATATGCAATAGGTAAAGTATGCATGTACATAGAATACATGTTTGTATATTGACATGACAAAAAGCTGATTCTTTGGTATTCCTGTATGTCTAAAATATTTATAATTATTTCGAAATGTGAATTTATGGGAGCGACTTGGATAGCAGCACGGATAAATTTTGTCTGATGTCTAACAGGGATTTCAGACTTCCTGCCGAATTTGGCTACCACGAGTCTGTATTACATTGTTTCTGTTTTGAATCATGCTATGTGTACAAACAAAATTGACAAACTTAATTTACAAACTATATGTTGGCAATATCTAAATCAATCATTTCAAAAACAGTTTTTGAAATCAATGACCTAGATCTTGCCAACACTTAGTTTTAAACAAAGTTTCTACAACTAGATTAATTCTTCTGTTTCGTTTACTCGAACTTTTGGTTGTAGAACATTATTGTTGCCTTGCTTGCCATTGATGCTAGTTGTGTTTATTTGCAATACAGATTGGTTGAATGCAAGTGCTATTACCTCCTATGATACAGGATGTTACTATGCCTGTTATTGGTGTTTTGGGATGGCAACATGTCTCGTCCTATTCTGTCCAAAATAGGGTGGGAATTCTCCCGTTAGTCACGGAATTGGGATGGGTGACGGGAAACATGATCTTCGCCTCGAACCTCTACCGACTTTATTTTATTTTTATATATTTAAAATTCAAATCATATTTTAAAAAATATACTAAAAATAAATAAGTAAATGGAGCAATGAGATGGGACCGCCCAGAAATCTTTGACTGATTGGGGGACGAGAAGGGCCATCCTCATAGCCATTCCTATTGACAAATTTGTGTTTCTTTCGGATAGACAACCTCGTTTTACCCAAAAGTTTTTAAGCACTTATAAGCAATGTTATAAAAACTAGATTGGATCAACCGAAAAAATCGGGAACCGGTCCAAATTTTGGTTCAGTTAAAACTAAAACTCACTTGATATAAAACAAGTAAAAAAAACTTGGCCAGTTCATTCACCAACTCGATGACACAATCGGTTTAAACACATACAAGCCTCTTGAATTAAAAGTTCCAAAGTGATGGTTTACCCAGCGGTTGGCACATCTTGTACAATGCATTTACTGAGGCTTTGTAGTGGGAACTGATGTTGGTCTAGGAACAATAAAAAGCATTTCTTGTGATTTTGTAGTGGAAACCAATTTTGCATTGATTTTGAATAAATTAATTATTTTTCTATCTTATTTTATTTAATAAAAAATTAAAAATTTCCAAATATTTCAATTAACAATATTATACTATTATATATTATTTAAAATATATTTATTTTTATATAATTGCTTTTCCAAATCAATGCTCAGTCCAAATTTTAAAACATTGGTTACAAGTAAAAATAGTTCAACATAACATGTCGGTACACAAGATTGATTTTTGTTGGTATTCATTTGTGAAAATTGTACTGTTAAATCACCTCGTTTAAAAGTTTAAATTATTAAATGATGGAACAAATTTATTTATTTTAATTGTGTTTTCAACCGAACGTTTATAGGTTGTTTTAGCTTATACATTTTTCGATTGTCGAATAAACTATCGGACCATCGTCTGTCACAAGACCCCTTGTGCTTTTAGGAAAGCACAAGTTCCTCCTAAACTACAAAATGTCGAAATAAAACATAACTCGTAACATGTTGAAAATCTCTTGTTCATTATCTTATATCATAATCATAAGGTCATACAAATTATACATTATAAATACACAGTTGATATGATCGCGTGACTCTCTTCACAAATTCGACATCGTCTAGCTTTCTCTTAGCTTTTTTCAGTAGTAATCTTCCAACAATTTGATGTTCTAAAATCATGCACCACCAATAAAAACCTGGTGTAAATTGCTGAAGCATTACCTGAATTAGTTCTCTTCCATTGAATCTGAGAAAATGGTTGATGCAATTAGCTCCAGAAGAAATGCAGCTTTCTGTTTCCTTTCCTCATAATCTTGTTCCTGAACTTCTTCATTCTGTGATGTTTTCCTGCTGCGAAAACTAAATATTTTATCATCCTTATTACGAAAGGCACGAAATATTTACAAGACTTAAATCTAGGACCTCTTTCGACCCTGTTGAACTAATTAACCTATTAAAATATGGTGTTCGAGGATTCATTTGTTGCAATATGAGCCAGACACGATCACCAATATATATGTTAGATGCAGACTACAATTTGTACAATATATCCCAACACATGAACGAGAATAACAGAGCAATAGTCCTTAACTCAATTTGTTATTTCATACAATTCTAAATTCAGTCTTAAGATTAATTTCTTGTTTAATGTAAGGGTCTGTTTGGGATAGTTTCTGCTTTTGCTTTTGTAGAAGAGTTTTTTGAGAAAGTTACCTTGGGCCAACTTCCTTTAAGAAAACTTCTAAGTAGACTAAGCAATTTTAAAACATATCCAAACAATCTCAAAAGCCGCCCTAAGTATTCATTCTGTGAAAACCATCAGAGAAAGAAAATAGATTGTTCGGTGAATATATGGTCAGAGATACAGTAAAATCACCTCTCCTACTCTTTTCCCGAACCCCGCAACTAAGAAAAATGTTCACAAGATATCTTATATAGGTACGCAGAAACATTTCTTGACCTCACACAGTTTTTGTTTTTGGCTGCTTGAATTTGCTTTTCTAGCTCCGAATAATTGTTTGTGTCAACATCTTGTCAAATTGATAGTTTGTTTGTAGTAACGTAGTTTTATAGAATCAACACTAAGCCTTACACTGTGACAAGTTGAGCAAGGTTTTCCCTTTCTCAATTTGCAGGGGTGCGCGCGCGCGAATGCACAGGTATACATATTGGGGAATACTAATGAAATTCCAATCTTACTTTATTCCATATTGCTCAACTAAACAAGAGTCATACATAATCCTATTATTCAATATTAAGCTATTTTAATCCTCTTAACCAGGACGATGGTCAATTGAAATCCAAAGGCATATGCTAAGAGAAGTTCTCAATGTGAGGTTCTTCATGCGTGAGGGGTGATTTTTCATAACTCAAATAAGATTACTGATGGAGAAATATGCAACTGTGAAAGTTAAATTCATTATACGGACTGACTCTGCTAAATTACATACATACATCATGATATCTTCGGAATATCATGCATAAAGAATCCGAAAAAAATAAAAATAAAAAAAAATTATTAGCATTATATCAGGTTGTGCACTTTGCAATTCGATAGGACGAAAATGTTATACTACAGCATAGAAGATGCATACCTTTCTAAATCATTAGTTGCAGCAATGTAAGAAGTTACATCTTTCCCACTGTACTTAGGGTCTGAAAGGGGCGCATAGCAGACAAATGGTGAGATGAGTGGATCAGGTGCAGGTTCGCTCCTGTTAATCTCACCACTCATCGAATATGAACTTAGTTCTCGAATGTCCTTAATAATATTTGTGGATACATTACTCGAAAAGCTGGATTTTTGAGTTTTTTTCCTCCTCTGAGAAATAGAAAAGAAAAGGAAAAAAGAAAAGAAACTGCTCAATTATTGTTTCCATATCGATCAAATTTACTTTCATGACAATAGTTATACCTTTATCGAATGTGCATGCTGCATCGTAAAATGGCTGATTGCATCTTTTCCTAAATTTGCAGCACATATGGGACAGACCTGGAATAGAATGATAAATTAATAAGTCGAGCATTCCTGGCCCACCGAGCAAAGGTGGTTTCTTGGTCACGATTTCAAGAATGAAACTATGTTGCCTCTGGCCCTCGTAACAAAACAAACGTGAAGTGAAGTATGTATTTTAGGATAGAAATGGAATTAATAAAACTGGACTGTTCGTTTGAGATTTAAACGAATCCAACTGCTAATTTGAGCTTTTTGAACAGCAACAAAGGCCATGTATATTATGTACGATTTCTATATATAAATGATGTGGTTTACCCTTATCATCAACTGGCCCATGTCCACTGTATCAAAAGTACAATTATATGTTTCAATTAATCAACTGATGGAGTCCACAGTGTAGATCCCTTATTATTCAACAGTAAGTACAAGCATCTATCCATTAGCCACAATTATTCACTATCTAATAACTGCATAACGAAACTTACTTGAAGTGATTATAAAAATAATCTAGATTATTATCCTCCTAAAGTGGGATTAATTATCAGTTATGATCGACTTTTATATCATAATCAAGTTGATAATTACATAAAGTTAACACTTTCGAGATGGAGTAATAAGCTAATGATATTGGTAAGAAACTTGAACCAGTTTGTCAACTTTTAAGCAATTCTTTCGTCAAGCATAGAATTAATAATATAAGTACAAATTATCTGAATATGCATACTCAGAAAGGTAAACTCATTTATTTTACTCGCAAGTTTTTAAGCTGAGCAAAACATGTGGGTTAGGCATGATTGGATAGAAATGGCATTAAACTATCTTACAGCATTTTTCAAGTCGAAGCAATGCTCTTCTTGCAGATGAATACAAAGCAGGGGAACTTCAATTTCGACATAACAAAATGGGCAGGGAAACCACGCTCTCATTTCATCATCCTCTTCATCACCAATGATTAAATGGTTGCCTATTGATGAAACAAAACATCATAAA